CCAGATGGGAATTCCTGCTGCAGCATCCTCCCTGGCATCACTGCCAGGAGCAGGACAGCAGAGAGCTCGGCCACCCATCAGTCCATGCTACGAGCTGTGCTTTGTCTCCTACTGCATCTCACGCAGCCTTGCGGTGTCAGTGCTGCCTGGAGGAACAGCAGGATCAATCTGCTCAGGGTGACAAGACGCTCAGGAGATCATGAAACTCATTGCTTCTTACACAGAATGGACTGGCTGCACTAGATTACAAGAGTGTAAACTAAGTAGGGGAATCCTCACGCTGTCTCCAAGTGCTCCCCTTTATATATAAATTAGCAATCCACAGTTAGTTTGCATACAGGTTAATATGAATTAAAATAAAAACCTTGATAATAAAAATATATAATATACACACTGATCAATAGCAATAAACTGAATGAAAACACTAGAATGTAACAGCGGCTGTAATTTGGCACAAAAAATAAAAATGCAAAGGTCTAGCACTGTAAAAATAAAAATCCTTTTTTTCCCCCCTAAGTAAGAGAATGTTATTAATCCTGATTCACATCCTGACAGGTGGGAATGCAGAGATATAAAAATACTGTACATACAAGATCCCTTTTACAGAGTGAAGCAGACTGCAGCATTTGTAACTTCTGTCCTCCCTCCCCAAGAGGGGAAATTCAATGATGAGACTTCATCTATCCCCTAACAGCCAGTATTTTCCCACCCCCACTAAGTTAAAAACCATGAAGTTCTTTAAAAAAGATGAGATTAACCTGTTGGATCTATCCATGTGACAACCGCTTCTCACTGCAGGAAGCTGTACAGTCCACATTAAGACAGTGTTTCATAGCAAGGTGACTCAGATCAGCCTGCTGAAGACGTCGAGTACCCCTGCATGTAAGGCACGATCACTCGGGTTCGCCCGACCTCTCTTCTGCAGACCATTGTGCTTCGGACGGAGGTAAGGAGGTGGCGAGGGCTCTTGCTGGTGAGATGTGCCTACTATGGAGATTAGGAAGTGCCAGGATTTCACGGTGATGAATTTTCCATGCGGTGCCTGTTGCCTTGTTAATGCACAGAGTCAGAAAGGGATGCGAGACCTGAATGACCTGGGCAGGGGTCCCAGCAAAGGCTCTGACACGCTACTGAATCCAGAGCAAAACCATAGGCAGAGCTACTGAAACTTGGCAAGAGAAGACAAGGAAAAAAACAAAGTTACTTAAACATTTTTCTGTCACAGAAAGGAAATATTGCTCCGATTGTTTTAAAAGATCAACTTCATTGTGCCTCTTTCCAGGGACTCACGTGCAAGGTGCTGACTTTGCATCTCGCCTACACAAGCTGCACCTCCTTGACTCTCAGCAGAACCGTGGCTGCTGAGCCCCAAGATGAATTGGCTCCTTGTTCATCCATGATCTTAACTCTTGCTGACTTCAATGGGACCATGGAATCTCCTGCCAAAAGGGGTTACTAAACATGCAAGTCCAGTTGCAGCCTTTGCCTCAGGAAGTCTCTAACCTGCTGACTGCATGAGGCCCACAAGGTGTATTAGATGAACAATTGCTCTGTTTATACCTCATTTACTACATGCTTTCCTCAGCTACCATTCCTAGCATTTCTGTCTCTCAATAGGTGTCAGCCCCTTCTAACATAACTTCAGGGCCCCCCTTTTCACAAGGGCTATGGAAAAATAAGACAGGCGAAACACTTACAAGGGACAGCAAACGAATAAAGCTAGGGAGTAAGAATAAAAAGGTAAGGACTAAGGGAGGATATAGAGCAAAGCAGCCCATAAAGCATTCAGCACTCCCTGAAGGCATCCAAGGAAGCAGCAGATGCTCCTGGGATCCTTCCCTTGGGCTCTTGGTGCCATGGCTGGAGAGCTTTGGCTGGCCCGAGGCAGCCACTAAGGAGATCTTGCAGCTCCACAGAGTAGGTACTGAGGTGTTCTTCAGACTTTACCCAGCTTCCAAACAAAATCAACTAGAGTTTTCTCTCATATCATTTCCACTCACTCCCACTGAAGTCAACAACTTGGATAGTCCCAAGCATCCCTCCTGAATTAATAGGTTCTTCAGATGTCAGTGGGCTCAGGGCCTTCACGACTTTTCTGATTAGAGTAAGACAGACGTTACATCAGCCAACTGCAGTGCAAGAAAGCCCATTACAGCCAGCTACAGAGGCCCAGGGAGGGCTGAATTCCTATTTGGCGATTTCCCCTTGCCTTGTGCAGAGGGTCACCATTTTTCCCCCATGCACAGTGCGTACAAAGCACAACCACTTTCCAATTTGGCAGGATTTTTCCCCATCCAGTTTTCGCAAGTGCACCAGATGATACAAGCAGCAGGGCCTGGACTGTGGTGTTTGTAGAAAGTATTAGTTCATAAAACTCCACCAGGCATCCATTTCACAACGATAAATACTCTGATGGCAATGGAGGGGAAAAACCCACAGGAAAAAAAAAAAATGGCATTTTCAGCAGTAGAAATTTTGACTGTTACATGAAATATAAAAATAAATTCTTACAAAATAAAGTCATTGCAAATGAGGTTGCCACATTGGCCCAAGTTACCAAATAAAAAAAAAAAACAAACAGTCTATATATGTTTTTTTTCCAGATCCTTTAAAACAATGTTAACACTTCTGAATGGACAAAGATGGAACTAGAAGAGGGAACAAGGCAAGGACAGTAAAATCTAGCCGCTGGCTGGGATATTTCCTGAGAAGCAGCAGCAAGCAAGTAAGAGCTTGCAAGTCACTTAAGGGTTCATGCAGGTGAGCAAGCTCATGGTCTGGAAGCAAGGGTACGCAGCTAACGGGATGCTGCCGATGCACAAAGTCCTATGTTACAACATTTTTAGCTAGTGTACGCCTGGCGCAGAGGTCTACTGGGAGTTAACTGGTTCTTCACAGGTAGTGAACTGCTGCCAGCATCCCAGTGGGGGTAGGAGATGGAAGTTTGAGTTGTTGGTCAAGGCAAGGCATGGGCTTGTGCTGTGATATTAAACATGCCCTTGTAACTTATGTGAAGAAGGAGCTGCCTTGTCTTCCTTGTGATTTGTCTCTGTAACTATCCTGACCAAGTACAACAGCCAAGCTTAAAGCCTTACAGCTGCCTTAGGGCTTGAATTGTCAATTAGTGCAAGAGCAGGGAGCCATGATCTCTTTCGATTTCCTATCAGTCCTCCACGCCAGCACATGCTCTCCACAAAGCTCTACAGAGCTGTCAGGCTCCTTTCCCAGGCAGATTGGTGGCGAGGGCAAGTACAGTCACGGCTCTGCCTCCCCTCCTCAGCAAAGCCAGCAGCAGAATTGCAGCTGCCAGCAGAGGACAGAGCGTGGTGGGACAGGCTCAGTGCTGGGCAGTAAGAAAGCTGGGCTGCAGGGGCAACACAGCCAGGCTTGCTGCCGTGAACTGGACTGGCAAACGAATAATTAGCCTGTACTGGTTGAACAGACTCCAAGCCAGCGTCCAGATGCTCAGCTTTGTTGTTTAAAAATGCACTTGAAAAAAAAAACCAGCAAAAAAAAGATTAAAAAGACAAAAGAATTGAAGTGAGAGGAGGCCAAGGGACAAGGCTACTTGTTTGTGCAAGAGAAGAATGATTTTCAAAGAGTGGAGGGAAAACAAGCCATCCAAAAAAAAAAAATCACTGCATGGGCAAATCTATACAGACAACTTAAACTTGCAGACCCTGCTATGCCCTAGAGAGCAATAGTTTTATCCTGACTGGAGTCTGCTTAGGATGCTGGACGGAGCAGTGTAGAGGGGAGGCAGTGAGCACAGACATTGCATGAGCCGTTCAGCACTCTGTGTCTAGCTCAAAGGTGCCTGTAATAGTAGATTTTGGATTCAGTGCTCAGTACCCATATGGCCCTCCTTCAGTCCCATGTTTCCAAGACACATGCAGGTTCAGACACAAGTTACTGTACTCAAGTGCATCAGCAGCTAAGGAAGGAGTTACAGTAGTTCCTACTTGGCTTCAGTGAAATTCCTTGGCTTCTACCACACTGACGCTCAAACCAGGTGACCACAGAGGTCCCTTCAGGCATTTAAATCTGTTTGTATGATTCTTCCCAATCCACAACTCACAGCTTCATCAACTCCCTGGCATGTCTTAAAAGTCATGCACACAAGGTCTAATTTCAGTTGAAACTGTTTTTCCTCTTAACTGTTCTATCTTATATCCTGGAGCTAAATGCCTGGTTACACGCTCCACCCAAGATTGCTGGAAACCCTAGAAAGAAATACAGCAGTTAAGAAATTTTCTTCTGTAGGCAATTTCTTCCTCACCAGTCCCAGGTTCTGGCTTTTGCTGGTGTATGTTATGAAGATCCTCTCTCCTTCCTGCAAGCTAGCATGACTGTCAGGTTGGCTCAGACGTCTTATCCAGCACAGGAAGAAACACATTTCCTCTTTAACTCTCTTTGCTAAGTCATCCTAATACGGAAAGGACTTGTACTTCTGATGTTCTGCTGGATTGCCATAACCCAGCTCGTATCTTAGATTTTCCTCCCTGTTGTACATGCATCTCTATTTGTCCTATTTGTCAAAGCTCCAGCCAAAGCATAAAAATAAAAGGAAAGCCTCAAAAGAATATAAGAGGGAGCTGTTAAGTCAGCTAGTTGATTCACACAGCTCAGTGGCGGCTAGATTATACTGCACTGCTTAAGTGATCACATATGAGTAAGAAATTGAAACGAAAAAGTGTTCCTTATTAATGTAATGACACTTAAAGAGGAGATCCTGGGAGCGGAGGCTGTACCTCCCCATAGGGTTAAGGAATCGAGAAGTTGCCTGGCAATTCCAGTAATGTTTGCTACAGAAGAGTCAGTACCAAAGCAAAGGCTAGCACCGTTTACTGCTTCCTACGGGAACCTGGAAAGCAAAACAAAAAGGAAAAACTCTGTAAGGATAGATCCTGGTGAAGAAAATACTACCTGCAGTCATCTTTTACTTGTCCTGCCCTCTTGGATGTCTGCGTGACTTCCAGGGTACTGGTAAAGTCAAATGCCAAAATGGGAACTGTATGTTACATTACTCAAGCAAAAGGAAGGATAGGTCCACAAGAGAGGCAGACATTCGCATTTCTTCTAGGCTGCGAACAGTACTGCAGCCACATTGCATAGTCTCACTAAAGGAAACGGAATGAACACTGGGCTTACAGACTCTTATAAAGTGCCATCAACTTTCCAGCTTGTTTGATGAAGACAGAGCACAAAAGTTTCCTTTTTAAAGTTTCCCAAACTTTAAATTTTGGGAAGTAAACTGTCTGCATCTAAGCCAATCAGTGGAGCTGGAAGAAATCCGAGCGATCGAGTCGAACTCTGGCTGCCCCTTTCCATCCCCAGAGACTCGACAGATAATGCAGACAATTGGCATTCAGATTTAAAAAACTGGGGGGGTGACCCTAACCACACTGCTCTTGTGCCAAGTGATTTCAGGAAACAAGCCAACAAAGCAGTGCTGAGATGCTACAAGAACAAAACAAGCCTGTTCTCAGGACAAGCTTCTGTCTGATCATTCCATCTGCCCGCCAGACAGGTGATACTGCAAGGTTTTGTCTTGTATTGGATTGTCTGATACTAGTGAGTCACCTAAAGTCCATCATGTCATTGTCTTCATGTTATTTCTCCTTCATTTGCTGCCTGGATTTAGTCATTCATCATTAAGAGATCATGGAGGATGTGCAGAGAGCAGTTTGACAAACTCAAGGCAAACCAATTCAGCTTTTTAGTCTCTCAGCCTGCAACATGCACAGCAAGTACAACTCGAACACTGACCAGTCACCTGCCTGCTGGGGCAATAATATCCATTCCTCCTCTCTATTATAGCATCTCTTTCAAACATCCTGTCCTGCAGGCTGCTTATTTGAGGAAAACAGCCCACAATAACCCAAGTGCTGGGGCAACCATGGGCTTGATCCTACCTTTAGGAGAGTGCTCAGGTTTGGGGATCTGGCGCAAGGAGCTGGGCTGGCTTGTGTAATACCGAGTGTGTTCAAAGTCATCGAGGAGAGGCTGTGACCTGCCAAGCACAGTGGAAAAGAAGTGTTGGGAAAAAAAACTCAAAGGCATAACAGCGTGGCAAAAGCAACATCTCAGTTGCCTGGTCTGTCCCATTCAGTTTGATGCAAACTTTCTGGCCCAGACTGCCCACATGCAGACCAGCTCCTCCGAGCACAGCTCGTTACTGTTTCTGCAGTGAGAAATGCACAGTATTTACTACTTCTCATGGACCGCTTTCATTTAATAATGGTTTCAATTTGTGAGGAAACAAAGAATTTCCATTATGAAGTTTGATGCAAACCTCACAATGTTGCAAAAGAGCAACATTTATAAAGTCTTTAATGCTTGCCCAGTTTTAATCCCAGAGTATCTTAAGATCTCTTAGTCTCCACCTGCATACCTCATTTGTTGTTTCTTTTGCGAATTCAACAAGAATTTCTAGGCTCATAGCTGGATTGGTAATCAAAGCCACCGGGGTCACCTCCAGGGTTCAGTCCCTCATGAGGAGCACCAGGCCAGGGTACCAAGTGATTCAGAAGCAGCACTGGGCTACAGCACGTTCCCACCAGCTCTGGGATGAGGTACCCCAAAGCACAACGTACTTGCTTGCACAGAGGTGTTCACATGCAGCAGCGGGAGCAGTGTACAGGGCTTAACTGGGAGCAAGGACCCAAGGGAGCAGCTGTGCAAATGCACTGTGATTACACCTTCCTGCCCAGAGATGACATTTAGTTTCACATCCCCAGAAGCTCTTTAACCCTCTCAATGTTTTTCTGCCCATTTAACAAGTGTCACTGCACAAGCTCATCAATCTCTGTCAGCGCCAGGCATGGAGACAGATATGGACAAATGCCACGAGCACAGCAAGTGACGCATGTCACCGAACGCCTCACGAGCTCTGGGCACACAGCTTTTTCATCTCTTTTCAGTGCTAAAACCTCTGCTCTCTACCAAGCCCCTTGTGGGTGGGTCAGGCTGGTCGCCCCACAACTCCTCCCTAGGACTCAGCTTCTGAGCAACTTCCCAACTGCATTTCCCAATTTTTACCAGCCAGTTCAAGCTCACCTTGAAGACCTGTCGCCTTTGTGTCGCTGAGTTTCAGGCCCTTCTTTTGACCTCGAGCGTGTGGACTCGCTTGCATCATGCTGATGGGAAGAAGGGAAAACAGCTCATCTGCACGCCTTGCAAGACATCAGCCAGTGCATTGAGGCTGCCACAGCTCCATGCAGACCTTTCGTGCTCAGTTTCTACACACACCTAACTACAGCCAGACACGTGCAAACAGCAGTATCAGGACTAGTTTCCAGCAAATGAAACTCAGCCTTGCTGAGCCAAAAATCAATTTTTGCTCTAAATATGAGACAGTGCTGGAGGACCTGTCCCAAAGCTGGGGTCAAACGCAGTCAGCGTGTAATGACTGTGCACATGGCTGGGCTGAGCACGAGGGACCAGCTGCACACAGCTGTGCTCCTGCAACCACTCAGAGTAAGGAGGCTGAAAACAGAGCTACCTCCAACTGGCCCCAAGATTAACACAACATCCCCTTTAGCACCTTACCAGTGCAGGCCATGAAATCTGTTTCCTATCACCTTCCACACCGGCTAGCCAAGCCTCTGTAGTATTACTCATACAAAAACCTAGGCTTGATATACTCAATACTTTCGTTATAGAGCCAATTTTATTATGAAGCAGTGACAACTGGAGCAGCTGCGCTGTCCTTATACCTGCGGTGCACGAACAGAACCAACTACTGCTTTTATTGCTACAGTCAGGTTTTCAGCAGAGGGAAGGTCCTGTGCCAGGAGGACTGACAGTGCTTGAGGAAGACCACAAGGTGCTGTGACATCCAGCGCCAACCTCCAAGGCCAGAGCCCAAGGCTTACCTTGCTTGAGGCTGAAGCCAAAGAGCATGTAACCAAGGAGGTGGCTCCAAAAGGCTTGGGAAGCAGCTGAATAACAGGCAGCAAGATCCTTTGGATGCAAGAGTGCATCATTCCTTTTGCTCTCACCACATACCCTCACCTCCCCCTGGAAGTAGGAATAACAGTATAGCACTTCATTTGTGGCACCTCCTGAAGCTTGACATACCTTCCAGTCTTGATCGTGCCTCCTCTTTTCAAAGGAAGACTTTTCTCTCTCCTTCCCTTTCTTGAAAGCCTTTTTCTCCTCGGCCATCAAGAGTCGGGCAATTTCCTAGAAGGGAAAATACAAAGAATGTGTCAGATGGTTTTACTGCTCTTGTAGGTTTGAGTTATTTAAACCCTTTCCCATGGACAGGTGCTGAATGGGAAGGGTGCATAGCCAGGATTTCACCCATCTGTGATCAGAAGTCAAGCGGCAGGGCAGAATTAAGACTGACTACATGCAGCATGCCCAGCGGATCCCTGATTTGCCAGAACTGTGTTTGCAGAGCCTTTCTGCCCTTTATCCCTTTTCCTTCAATGGGGGAGTTCATCTCGCAGCATCTCTGATAGTCTCCCCTGGAGCTCAGTTACAAGAGATGCTCTTACACAGCCATGAACTTCCTTCCTCTGCCATGGTCGCAACAGGCAGCACGACTCCCTGCTTGGCCAGCCTGTGCATATACATGACAGCCAGCCAGGAGCAAACCCCACTGGAGCCCTGAGCTTCCCCTACAAGGAGGGAAACGAACAACTAGAGGGTCAGAAGGGACAAGTGGGGTTTAGCAGTTTCCACAAATAAAGGAATACTGCAGACATTTGACTTCTTGCTCACCTCATCTTGGGCTACTTGAGCTGCCTTCTGATCTGCCTCATTAGCCTGGGA